GAAAACTGTGCACTAGATTTGTAACGTAAATCATTTATAAACCTTTGCCAACACAGGAGAATACATCATATTTCTAAATATGCCATGCATTGTACATCGCGATTTCAAAATAAAAGTTTCTGAGTTTGCATGTGGCCAAATATTAAAATGGAATGGATTTAAACATTGTTGAATCACACTGTAAAGTGAAACGTCACCAGGCCGTTGGCGCCCTCTGCAGGTATTTGTTTTAATACAGAATGTACTTAAGTTGGTTATGTTTATATTATGTATAGGCATATTACATTATGTATTTTAACAGTGTTGTTCAATAAAACCATGTAATATTCCTATACATAATATTAAAGTACATTGTGTTATAACAAACACCTGCAGAGGGCGCCACAGGCCCGGTGACGTTTCACTTTACAGCGTGATTAAACCATGTTTAAATCCATTAAATTTTAATATTTGGCCACATGCAGAAACTTTTATTTTGAAATCGCGATGTACAATACGTGGCATATTTAGACATAGGTTGATGTATTCTCCTGTGTAGGCAAAGGTCTATAAATGATTTACGTTACAAATCTAGTGAGATAATGCACACTTTTTTTTTCAGATGAACGTTAAGCAATTCAAATTCACAGCATATGCAGAGGAAGAGTTTAGCCCCTTTCACACATACAGTCTTTACTGGTAAATTACCTGTCTCATTCTAGAGAACCAAGTATCTGTATTTTGTCTCATCTCGTGAGCTAAGTGTATTGTCACACCCCTAGTGTCGATAAGCGGTGATATAGCTCACAATTTTCCAAGTGTATGATACAGCTTTCATTCTTCAGGTCAACCTGAAGAATTCATGAAAAAAAAAATCAATTTGAATAAGGAAAGCAATAACTTTGCCATAGTATCCTATCAAATGTTAAATTGCCTGTCAATAAAGAGAATTGATTAATTCACCTTTCGAGTCGTTTGTTCTTTTGTCACGTGACGTGACCTCATCGGATAGAGAAATTAGTTAATAATTTACAACCTTCCTTACAAACGGGTGCATAGTTATTATTATTATTATTTACTCTTACAGTTACGTGATGCGTTTCTGGTCCCAAATTGTAGCTTTTTATTTCTTACAGTTTATAAATCACTCTATGGCCTAGGACCTAAATACTAAGGCTGGGTTTTGACACAAATTTCACGATTCGATTACCGATTCGATTCAATGTCGATCATTTTGGATATATATCAGGTACAGTATAGTGTTGTCAAAAGACCCGGTATTTCGGTACCAAGTCGGTACTAAAAAAATGAAAACGTTA